GGGGTTCGGGATCAGGAGATGGAAAGGGGCTGAGGACTGTGGTGGCGGGGGGTGGAGTGTGTGCAGGTTTACAGGGTACACCCCTTGGTTGGGTGAGGATGCATGGACAGGATGATAACTATGCCAACAAAATGATGGATGATGGAATGAATGTAAAGCTGATGTTCTCCCATGTAGACTATTACACAATTCACAATAAAACATAAAAAAAAAAAAAAACTTAGAGCTACAGTGGGCTAAGGTGGCCTGAGATTGCTGGAAAGATAGATGAGAGAGACTGAATGTATGTTATGAATGTCCTACTCTTCTAAATGAAGGAGATTGAACTTATTCCTATAGGCACTTGGGAGACATTGAAGATTTTGTAACAAGGGAATAAAATAAACCAGTTTTACTGAAGAGCCAAAAAAAAAAAAAAAGTTTCTATGGGCACTCGTGAAAGCAGCAGTCAAACAATCACATGACGTATTGCATAAGACAAATCTTCTGCACAAGACCTCTTTAAACTGTTAAAGATCAAAGATGTCAGTTTGAGGACTAAGGTGTGCTTGACTCAAGCCATAGTATTTTCAATAGCCTCATATGTTTGTGAAAGTTAAACAATGAATAAGAAAGACTGTAGAAGAATTGATACATTTGAGTTATGGTATTAGAGAAGAATATTGAAAGTACCATGGACTGCTAGAAGAACAAACAAATCTGTGTTGGAAGGTGTATACCCATAATGCTCCTTAAATGGCAGGATGGTGAGACCTTGTCTCTCATGCTTCAGACATGTTGCCAGGAAGAATCAGTCCTGGAGAGGGACATCATGGTTGGTAAAGTGGAGGGTCAACAAAAAAGAGGAAGACCCTTCCAGTGAGATGATTGAAACAGTGGCAACAACAGTGGGCTCAAGCTTAACAACAATTGTGAAGAAGGTGCAGGACTGGGCAGCGTTTCCTTAGGTTGTTCATAGGTCACTTTGAGTTGGAACAGACAAAGACACCTAACAACAACAACAACAGGGGCAAAATATTGAATGACAGGGAAACATCAAAACAAGATGGAAAGAATACAAAGTCACTGTACCAAAAAAATTGGTCAATGTTCAACCGTTTCAAGGTGTACCATATGACCAAGACCCAAAGGTATTGAAAGAAGAAGCCTAAGCTACAATGAAGGCTTGGTGAAAAACAAGGTTTTAGAAATTGATGAAAAACAAATGAAAATGTTTCAGTAAACTGATGCACTACTGGAGACTCTCATTCAATCTGTTGCAACAAATTTAGAAGACAGCCACCTGACCAACTAATTTGAAGAGATTCATATTTGTGCCCATTCCAGCAAAAGGTAACCCAATGGAATATGGAAATCATCTAATAGTATCATTAATAACACATACAAGTAAAATTTTACTTAAGATAATTTAAAAAATGGTTGCAGCAGTTCGTGACTGGAAGTTGCCAGAATTCAGGTTGGATTCAGAAGAGGACATGGAACTAGGAATATCATTGCTAACGTCAGATGGATCTCTCCTGAAAGCAGAGAATACCAAAAATATGTTTACTTGTGCTTTATTGACTATGAAAAGGTATTCAACTGTGAATCATAGCAAACTATGGAAAACATTGCGAAGAATAGGAATTCCAGAACACTTAATTGTGCTCATGTGGAACCTGTACTTAGATCAAGAGGCAACCTTTCAAACAGAACAAGAGGATACTCAGTGGTTTAAAATTAGGAGAGGTGTGTGCCTGGGTTGTATACTTTAACCATGCTTACTCTGTGTGCTGAGCAAATAATCTAAGAAACTGGATTATATGAAGAAGAACATAGCATTTGGATTGGAGGAAAATCGTTAACAACCTTTGATATGCAGATGACACAACCTTGTTACTGGAATTGAACAAGACTTGTAATATTTACTGATGAAAATCAAAGACTATAGCCTTCAGCATGGATTGTACCTCAATGTAAAGTAAACAAAAATCCTGGCAACTGGACCAGTAAACAGCATCATGATAAATAGATAAAAGATTAGAGTTGTCAAAGACTTCGTTTTGCTAGTATCCACAATCAGTGCTCACAGGAGCAGCAATGTATTGTATTTGGCAGATTTGCTGCAAAAGACCGCTTTAAAGTAGTAAAGAGTAAAGGTGTCACATTGAGGACTAAGATGCACCTGACTCAAACCATCGTATTTTCAATCACTTCATATGTATGTGAAAGTTGGACATTGAATAAGGAGAATCAATGCATTTGAATTATTGTGTTGGTAAAGAATATTAACGGTACCATAGACTGGCAGAAGAATAAACAAATCTGTGCTGGAAGATGTACTACCAAAAAACTCCTTAGAAGAGAGGTTGACAAGATTTCATCTATTCTTTGGACATGTTGTTACAAAGCCCCAATCCCTGGAGAAGAAAATCATGCTTAGTAAGGTGTTGTTGTTAAGTGCTATCAAGTTGGTTCTAACTCATAGTGACACTGTATAAGGTATGAGGAGCGGCTGTGAGCTTGAACTGACCTTCCGATCCAGTGCATTAACCATAGCACCATACGTAAAGTGTAGTGTCAGCAAAAAAGAGGACTATCCCCCCAACAAGATGGATTGACACATGCAACAATGCAACAATGGACTGTGTGTGTGTGTGTGTGTGTGTGT